TATTAATTATTGTATATATATTTTTCTACAATGAAACAACAATAAAATAAATTATTCAATTATACTTTTAATATATTAAATGTAAAATGAGAGCTTAATATATTTTCAGCTTTCGCTCAGTGAAGTAAAACAAAAAAAAATATATAAAAGAAAATTTATTTAATAATAATTTCTATAAAATAATTTTTCATTTGACAATTAAACTATTTTGATATTCCAATTTAATAAAAATAAATATTAATGTATTGAGCAATATAAAACATAAATAAAATAATAATTTTTTTTATAAATTAATTATTTTCCATAAAATACATATTTCAAATGACAGTGAAATATTCTCGATATTCCAATAAATAAATAAAATTAAATTATAAAAAAAAAACATAAATTAAATAATATTTTATATACATATGTTGGGGTTTCAAATGACAATTTAATATGTATTATATTTGAGCAATATAAAAACATAAATTAAATTATATTTATAGATGAATTAATACATTCCCATATTATTCAACAAATAAATAAATTTATTAAATAATATAAAAATATAATTTAAATAATATTTGATATATGTTGAGGTTTCAAATGACAATTTAATATGTTTTATATTTGAGCAATATGAAAACATAAATTAAATAATAATTATACATAAATCAATACATTTCCATATTGTTCAATAAATAAATAAATTTATTAAATAATATAAAAACATATATTAAATAATATTTTAAAAACGTTGAGCTTCCAAATGACATTTTAATATGTTTCATATTTGCCTCCCGTTTCGTGCAGCTCGTCAAACACAGCGGAAATGGTGCACAACGAGGAGCTCGCCCTGGACACGGGCGTGGCACACGGCACACCTGTTGCCATAAACGGCGAGGCGAAGCCAAATCAGCGGCTGTACGAGCCGCGTGAACGTTTTATCATCACCAAGAACGTGGTCGTCATCGGGCTGGCCTTCATGATACACTTCACGGCCTTCCACGGCACCTCGAATCTGCAGAGCTCGGTGAACGCGGACAAGGCGCTGGGCACCACCACGCTGGCCGTCATCTACGGCTCGCTCATACTGTCGAATATATTCCTGCCCATGACTGTGATTAGGTGAGTCTCTACATAAGTCTCTAAGGAAGCACAAAGAAATTAATTTCCCTCAGCTCTAACTCGATGCAAACTCAAAGTTTTCCTTTCGCCCTTTGTTCACGTCTTTAAGATCATCTCATTGTCGCATATAATTGCTGTGCCAGCTACCGAGGGGGGTGCGGCAGGGGCTTAGCTATAAATTGTCGGCATTGCCATAAATGTCGGGCAATTGCGTGGCGTTTTTATGGCAATTTTATGCAGATGCGACAGCCGAACGGCAGTCAACAGTCGGCAGTAAATACATTTGACTAAATGTCTAAATGTCAACGGGCGTGCCTTTGGGTGGGCGTAGTCAATAGCTCAGCTCATCCTGATAGACATTTTGCCCTTT